AAAAAAAACAAACACACAAACCCCCCCCCCCCAAAAAAAAAGTTTAAATTTTGTTTTTTCTCTCACAGCCCAGTCCCAGTCTCAAGTCGCAAGTCTCGGAAATCCCTGCCTCCTACGGTACTGTACTGTACTGTACTGTACTGTACATACGTAAGCGTCTCAGGTGGTGCCCGATAAGGAGAACAAAGACGTCAGCTCAGCTCGTGTTTGAAACGCGGCTCCACTTTGCGCGGTTTCAGCCGTGGTGGGGGAGGGAGGGGGAGGGGAGGGGGAGACTAGGTTCAGGACTTCCTAGGGAGGGGGTATGGGATGAGAGAGGAAGGGACGAGGGAAGGGACGAGAGGATGGGACGAGGAAGAGAAAGGTGGAGGACGGAGGATGGAAGATGTATTGTATTGGCACCGAGGTACGACGACGAAGTACGGTCATGTCATGGTGCTTGAATGTTAACTCTGGCCAGCTACAGTAGTGAGGTAGCTAGGTAGGTAAAATGCTTGCTTGCTTCTGCTGTGAGAGTCGGTAAGTAGCACGAGGAGCCGAGACAGTTGCGCGAGCCGGATTGCCCTGATGTGTGCACCGCCTAGGAGAAGCTATTCATTTCTCGAAAGCCTTCAGAGGAGAGTCGCAGACTCTCGGACATATGATACACTCAGACCGGGAGAACCTGATGCCATCCCATCGGTAGCCTGTCCTTTCCCGGATCGACTCCGTACCAAACTCCTCGGCGTGATTCTTGCCTTCTGATCCCTCAGCCGGACGCGGTCTGGTCCTCGGCTATCCCGAGCTTTGGGCCTCGCAACTCTCGTGGTCAGCTGTAGCAGTATTAATGCTGTTGATATGTAAATTCCCCCTCCTCCCCATCGTGCTTCACGTCCCAGGATAGGGCTTGATGTGCCTGTCGCGGCCCCCCGCAGTCAAGGCGCGCAAGCGTCCCTTGAACCTCGTCGCGATACCCTCTACACTCTCGGCAATCTCGCGGGGCCGCTCCTCCAAGCTCCGCCTCAGCGCATCCTCGCTCCTGACGCCAAAAGCAATCGTCCGTTGGCCGAAATGCTTCAGGCTGTCGGGTACCGCAAAGTCCGGCTGCACCGGACTCTGTCCGCCGTTCGACGGCCAGGCCGGGGTCGTGTAGCGTCGACGGGCAGCCGAGAAGGAGAAGGAGTCGGTCGAGGCGTTGGAGGCGGAGCTGTCGCTGCGGGCCTTGCGTTTGCGCTCTTGCAGCTCGTCTTCTTGTTGCAGAACGGCGAGGAGGAAGCTGTTATCGTGCGAGCTTTGGAGATGGACTTCGGACCCGGTGAGGGCACTGCCTTCGGTGAAGCGCGATTCGCGCCTCGGTCGGGTCTTGGGGGGGATGGTTGGGATCGAGGGGGTGGGTGTGGTGGAAGCCATCGCCAGGGATGGGGCTGTGATGGATGGATGGATAACCGGCCGAGAGGTGTTGGGTGATCGCGATGCTGTTGCTGTGATGCTGGTGGTCTCGGTATGGATATGATGTGATGATCAGTGGCCGTGGCTGTGGTAGCAGCCGTGATAGTGGCAGCGAGAGACTTACGAGTAGAGAAAGAAAGTAACCTTGCCGGGGGGGGGGGGGATGTCGGAGTACTTGTACTTGTGGGCTTTCCTTTGCGACGACGGGTAACATCCTACCCACCGTACGGGACCTTTACCTACACTACAGTACCGCACTAACCATGAGGCGAGACGCTAGACCCAGACCCGCGGGTCCTGCAGGAGCGATCCCCCTTCTCTTTCTTCCCTTTTCTTGTGCATCTGGGCCTGGAACCCTGGACCTGGGCCTGAGCCTGAGCCTGGACCGGGGTCTGGGCCTGGACCCGGGGTCTGTCCCCGGTCCCGCGTCCCACATCCCGCATCCCGCATCCCGCATCCCGCGTCCCCCGTCCACCGTCCACCGTCCACCGGAAATTCCATCCTCGTCTGTTGTCAGGATGACCACGGCAACTTTCGACTGTACTACGTATGTATCGATATAGGACGATCACCCACTCCGCGATACAGGTATCTTGCCTGCCGCGAGATTCATGCGTGCAATTATCGTACAATTAATTCATGCCACGATACCATTCCTGCCATCTCCTGCTACCCCGCTTCCGAATGCTCGTCGCCAAACCCGGGTTTCACATCTCAGAGTAATTGCATGCAGTAGGTACGTAGTACGTACCGAGTACGTACTACTGCTACCGGTACCGGTAGGTATCTGCAACCTCGACCGCTCTCATTCGCTTGCCAGCGCTGATACTCTTGTTTTCTCACGTGGTCAAACTCATCCTGAGTTCGATGGACTGACTGGTCGGAAGCTGAAACCGAGAAGCCAAACGTGCCGACGAAGCTGGAAATGTGGAGATCGAGAGAACCAGCGGCTTCTTTCTCGCACGAGGTCCTGACCAGACGTCGATCTGCATCAAGTATTGTAACAGGGAGGGCGAGAGACGTCCGATCCGAGAGTCGGCTGACAGTTGGGAGAGGTGATCCAGAGGTTCGACGGTTGCGATGGAGGGGGCTCGAGCTTCGATATCGCTACAGTCAGCAGGGCAGCAGGGCAGCAGGGCAGCAGGCAGATCATCGAGTCAGAAAAAGCTGCCACGACCCTGCGAAGGGGAATTGCCGCTCTGTCAAGTGTCTACTCGAAGCGAATCTGAAGGGTGCAGAAACGATCTTCGCTTGCCGTTTTTAGATCCTGAAACACAAAGAAGACTGACTGCCTCGAGGTGATGAACCCGGCCCGGCACGGCCCAAACCCAGGCCTCGAGCCCTCGAGCTCCCGACGCGGTCTGCAAACCGGCTGGCGATGTAGGTACTAGTAGTTGCAACGAGGTGCGGAAAACGTCAAAGGCGTGGGACCATCTCCAAACTCGCTTACGCTTTCTCGAGTGCGGGTGCAGAGGCATACCGGTAGGTACCGACAGTCCCGTCGGTGCATCTGGCGGTGAGATGGGGTCAGCGGGCTTCCAGACCCAGGCCCAGACCCAGGCCCTCTTCCGTGCACCACGAGATCGACTGGCCGTAAACCGTAAACCGTAAACGCGCGGAAAAAGACAAAATGAAAGAAAAAAAATATATATTTTTAAAAAAGGCTTCTCCCTCCGTAGAAATCGCCGCGAAACATTTCCGGGCAAGTACAAGGCAGCAAAGGCTGTTGATCTGCCGCGTTCGTCGGAAGTTCGTTTCAACCTACGGGTCAAGTACTACGTCCTACCGGTACTTAGGTACTTACTTCCTTCCTGACTTTCTGACTTCCTTCCTTCCTGATCTGACCCCGTGTTTCCACGCCGCTGCTTGGCCGCCGCGCTCATGAAGACGGAGTGATACGTAGTAAGTAGCGAGAGAGAAGTTATAAAAATCAAAAATTTTAAAAAAAAAGGGAAAGGGAAAGGGAAAGGGCGGACGGGCGACTCGGTACCAAGCTCACGCATGTGGAATCGTGGATGGAGCTAGCTAGCTACTATCTAGGTATCTATTTATCATTTGATTTGATCTGATTTGATGTGATCTGATCTGATCTGATGTGGTCTGATCTGATCTAATTGATCTGAGAGCCTCCTTCCGGAACGCGGTCCGCGAGGGCAAATGGCAAATGGCAGAACTCTAGACAGACAGACAGATATTGACGTTTGGGGGCTCTGCTCGAGGACAGGTCGAGTCTGGCGCGGGGGTGGCAGAGGAGGTGGGAGGGAGGAGGGGAGGAGGGGAGGAGGGAGGAGGGAGGAGGGAGGAGGGAGGAGGAAGGAGGGAATATGTAAGAGGGAAGAGGGAAGAGGGAGGTAGCCCTCCTAGCATCTCACCCCGCAGTCTCTCTGGTACGTACCTTACGTAGGTAGGTACCGGTAGATAGGCAGCGGGCACTGGCTAAGAATACATCTGTGACACTCGCTCTCTGTCGCTCTCGCTCATCTACAGCGTGCAGGAAGGGGAAGAGGGGGGGGTTCTACGCGTGCCCGACATGTGATCTGGACGTTACAGTACCGTAGAAGGCCAAGCCAGACAAACGCAGTGGCGCCCCCACGCGAACGACAGGGAAAGAAAGTGACGGGGGAAGAGAGTCACTTACTACGTCGCAGGCGTAAGTATTACCCCTCGAGGGTAGGGAAAACAGGGGGTTTAAAGTGGAAACTAAACTTTTAAGGCACCCTCGAGGGGTAATACTTAGGCCTGTACCGTGGTAGTTGCCGGGATGGTTTTGTGTGAGAGTTTCCCGTGTTCCGTAAGTATGGTTTTTTTCCTCCCGTTCTTTATTTAGTTACGGAACCCGCCCCGGTGATGGATGATGGCCGGCGGCCACCAGAGCAGAAGACCAAGCTGCACCGTCCGTCCCCCACCACCTTTGGGGGCTACCGGTAGGTACATCATCGACTTCTCCGAAGTAGAGCAGCAGCTTAGAGGCCAGGTCCCCCCCCCCCCCGCCCTCCGCGCGAATCAATCACGCCTCCAAGACCACGCACGATCAATCAGTACTTCAATTTCCTGCTTCTCCTTCCAGCATTCCGAGGAGCATCCCCTGGCTGAGAGTCGCCGACTGGTGATTTTTGGGAGCATGCAACAACCTGGTTAGGGTAGTGTTCATTGCATAAGTCCCTGAAGTTGTACCAGGAATCTAAACCTATATCACACTTTGGAAATGATAAGCAGATGAGCACATATATATATATATATATTTTTTCTCTTCTCTTGTGTGGTAAAAAGTTAAGGGGGGGGGGGGAATTGGAAAGGGACTTTGATTCGAATCTGGTGAGAATCACTTACTTTGCCAGTCGCGGTATCCATGGCACCTGATTTATTCTTGACCAGGGGGCATACGGCTTGGGTTGCGGTAGTATCTAAACAGGTGCAAGCAATCTTCTCTGCGCTCACTGCAGAGATACTAGAAGCAACATGCCAAGTTAGCAAAGCTAGCAGCTATGTAAGACTGGAAGAACTTGAGTAGAGAGGCTACTTACAAAAGCACGGTAAGCAGAGACTTGATGGAGACCATTTTGACAGTCTGAAGGGTTGATGTGTAATTCTTTTCGATTTGGGAACTTGATAGTCTGACGGCGGGAAATGTGGGATGGACGTGATGTTTGGGTAACGAGAGCACGGCGGTTGGGAATGACTTTATACTCGTGAGTACCATGCGGAGAGCTGTAGCTGATAGGGCTGAAGCTGGTGAATCTTCAAGTCCTCCTTAAATTTGGGGCTTGGCTGATGCACCATCAGCTTCATATAACCGAAACCAGAATCAACTTTCTGTAAGAATAGGTGGAACGCCGTGTACTTCCAAAGTATACTTGTCGCCAAACAAACCAGAATCAACTGACTGTAAGAATAGCATGCCGTATCCTGCCAGAGTATACTTGTCGCCGTCTTTGCTCGCCAAGTGCGGTCTGGCAAGAGCGTGTCTGCTCAACCATACATTGTTCTGCCACTGATGCTGCTATGAAGTCAGAACTGCAGCAGGTAACAAAGAGGGAAAACGATGGCATAGTCGACAGACCTCCTCTACACAGCTCAGACTCCCTTTCGTATAGGTACTGTCTGTTAAGCCGTACAGAGGATTGCACCGCACTGTACTATTTATACCTGCAACCGGGGGTAAACGTGGTGCCGTAAATAACTCCGCATGTTTCCACGATTCGGAGCCACGGAAATAGGTACTGGGTCTGCCGCACGTAAAATACCGTACGTAGTACTACTACGTAATAATTCAGACGGAGCGGAGAGCGGAGTTCAAAAAATACGGTTTCGGATGCCAAGCCACGTCAGACTGACAAGATGACTTTGAAGGTACTGTAGTTCGGACTGAGCCAAAAACCGTGTTAGCCATTTCAGCCATTTCAAGGCTTTTCCCCCCTTTTTTGCGACAACGCGAATGTCCGATGAGTCATGTCGTGCTAATTGATACATAGTACACCTTGCTGCACCTTGCTGTTGCATGCACCTTGCTATCGATGAATTAATCGGCCATCTTGCAATCGACCCAGCTGATTTGTAACTGGCTACCCTGTCAGCGGTTCGGCGGGCACGTTCCTATTGACGCAGGTCATGGGTGAAGCTTGTTGTATACACTATCCCGGCAAGCAAGAGATCCGTAGCTGTTAAGCGAGGTAATTAGTATAACCCGTAGATCCTGTGCGCGACGCTTAAAGAGATCTTACCATTGGCGGCATGATCAAGGCGTCGATCAGCTCCGTAGATCTGATTAGTTTCATGACAGCGGTCCCTTCCGTTGGGCTTGGGATCTGTATCTGTGGAGGGAGTGGGCTCTTTCCACTTCTGACGGTGCGGGTCGTCGTTGAGCTGAAGCTGAAGGTCGAGGTGGTCGCGTATAGAGATCAAGGGGTTGGTCAAAAGCCAGAAGCACAGATGAAAAGATGAAATCGCAAATACTGTCTCGGGTCTCTTTTGATATAAGCTTGAGTATAAATGAAATGGATGGCGAGAGAGAAAGAAAGAGAGAGAGAGGGAGTGATGACTGAAAAGGGTGTTGTAGCGAGAGACGAAAGGCTATCATCGTTGCAAAGAGCATCACACAAAAATGACATGGAACGCTCGGTCCCAAGCTCATTTGCTAATGCTCAATCGCATTCACGCTCAGCCCACAGATGTGGCGTGTGACATGTGAGACGTTGAGCGAGGCGACGTATCGGCTGCGCAGCCTGCGGTTGAGATACCGGTACCAGCTGGAGCTTCTCGCACGGGAGTAGGGGAATGAGATATGGGGGCTCGCATATGGAATCAACGTCGGACACTGGAGCCTCGGTAGCGAGTGAAAGAGATGGGGAGGAGAGGGAAGGGGGTGTAAGAACATGATACTGCGCACCAAGCGGCGTCAGATCATACGGACTCGTTTGCCAATCAGGCATCTTCTCGCCATGGTAGGTATAGTGACGGCGCTCCACGTAGTCTGGTTCCTTTGAGCGGGGTAGCAATGCGATGGGATGGGATGCCACGAGATATAGTCAGTGAAGCTTTTCAAGTGACACGGCAGCTGTGTTGCGCCACACAGCTATACGAAGTAGCTTGATACACAACGTACAGCTCACTCGAATCTCAACGAGGATCGCAATTGACACCCCACAAAGTAAGCAGAGGGCTTGAGACAGCAGGAGGCAGAAGAAAGAAAGGAAGGGAAAAGGGGGGGGGGGGGGGGGGAAAGGACATAAATAAATAAGAGAAAGCTCACCGCATCGCAAGCTAAGTAGTACTTACTCACCTACCTCTGGCTAGCTCTCGCTGTAGCTGCAGCTGTAAGCACCCAGCGCGTCATGTGACCCCCTCTGCATGCACGTATGCATACACACACATGAGGGCTGCAGCAGGAATCATGGCCCACTAGGAGAGCTAAATTTGATGCCGGAGTAGGCGAGGTGCCGCTGAACTATGAAAGAGTAGTTCGGAGCGGGTGGTTGGAACTTGGAAGGAAGGATTGTGGCCTGCCGGGACTCCCCATCTCGCCCAAATCTCCCCAGACAATCAATCACGTCACGGCGAAAGGAGATAGAAAGATCAGATAAGATTTCGATATTGATTGGTTTGCAATGTAAAGGCTAATCATACACAAGTGTCATTCCCATTCGTCACTACTACCCCAGCTTAACCAAGCTTAACCAAAGAGGGCATCGCCCAAACGGATCGATACTGTCTTTGTCTGAGTGTAGTTGGCCAACGCAGCCTCGCCGAGCTCACGTCCGATACCCGACTCCTTGTATCCACCGAAGGGAAGTTGCCAGTGGAGCATGTTGTATTGGTTGACCCAGACGGTACCAGCGCGGAGACCGTTGGAGACGCGGATAGCAGTGTTGAGGTTGGTGGTGTGGACAGCAGCGGCAAGGCCGTAGGACGTGTTGTTGCCGGTCTTGAGAATCTCCTCCTCCGTCTCAAACTTGGAAATAGAGCATACAGGGCCGAAGATCTCCTCTTGCATGATCTTCATGTCCTCGGTGACATCGGCGAAAATGGTAGGCTGAATAAAGTATCCCTTGTCACCATGACGTTCACCGCCGGTGACGATGGTGGCACCAGACTTCTTGCCCTCCTCAATGTAACCCATGATTCGGTCGTATTGCAGTTGGGAAATCTGAGGGCCTTGGAAGGTATCTGGGTGAAATGGGTCTCCGACCTTGTTGGCAGCGGCACGCTCCTTGAATCTTTGAATGAACTTGTCGTAGATACCAGATTGAACGTAGACACGGGAACCAGCACAGCAGCATTGGCCGTGGTTGAAGAAAATACCAAAGTTGACCCAAGAGATGGCGTTCTCAATATCGGCGTCGTTGAAGACAATGTTTGGGGACTTGCCTCCGAGCTCGAGAGTTACCTTCTTCAGGTTGGAGCCGGCTGCAGCCTTCATGACTTGCCGACCGACAACGGTGGATCCGGTGAATGCAACCTTGTCGACATCCATGTGGGCAGAGATGGCAGCACCGGCAACCCTTCCGAAACCAGAGATGATGTTGATGACCCCCGGGGGGAAGCCAGCCTCCTTGATAAATGATGCGGCGACCAGAGCCGAGAGGGGAGTCTGCTCAGCAGTCTTGAGGACAACCGTGTTACCAGCGGCAACGGCAGGGCCGATCTTCCAGGACCACATGAGCAAGGGGAAGTTCCACGGGATGATTTGACCGCAAACACCAATCTATCCGAGGTGAGTAACATGACTATCGTGTTCTGGCATGGGAGAAAACGTACGGGTTCTTGCTTTGTGTACGAAAAAGTATCCGAGTTTGTTTCGATAACCTTGCCCTCGATCTTGTCGGACCAGCCGCCATAGTATCTCAAGCAGCCAACGACGGCAGTGACATCGTCCTTGGCCATGGAAAGGGACTTGCCGTTGTCGAGCGACTCGACAGCAGCAAGGAGGTCGGCGTTCTTCTCGAGAAGGTTTGCGAGGTTGACCAGGCATCTGCCACGGTTCTCTGGTGTTACCTTCCTCCATGGGCCGTCGAATGCCTTCCGGGCAGCTGCTACGGCGATATCGACATCCTTCTCGGTGGCCTCGTGGACAGAGCAGATAACCTCCTCGGTGGAAGGGTTGATGGTCTCGAAGGTCTTGCCATCGACACCCTTAACCCACTCGTTGTTGATAAACCTGGGGGAGAAAGAGGAATCAGTTTAGACCACAGCGTCTAGAGGGGGGAGCAAGACTCACAAGGCGGTGGGTTGCTTGTACTTGCCAGTGGATGGCGTTGAGAGCTCGATGACAGTCATTTTCTCGAGGGGAGGGAAGTGCAAGAGGTATCTTGAGATGAGTAGATGAGTTGTTGTGGTTTTGCCCGAGGCGATGGGGATGGGTATGTTGGGTATATGGAAGAGGAAGAGGAAGAGGAAGAGAAAGAGGAAGAGGAAGAGGAAGAGGAAGAGGAGGGAGAAGAGAGACTGTGAAGCTCGAGGGATGGATAGCGTGGGGGATTTTATGGAATTTATGCTAAGACAGGAGCCACAGGCAAAGGCCAAGGATGGCGGGGCGTTACCATTCCCTAACCTACTTCCCCGCATCTCGCTGGACTTTCCCGCGATTCGCGAACGGCAGATAAGTAGACCATCGACCAAATCCCGATAATCCTCTCGCAAGCCATCGGTCATGACATAATCACCACGTCTACTGGCTGTCACCTGGACTGCACATCCCAGCATCTTGGTAAAGTAGTACCACGGTACCGGTAGAATACTCTCCCACCCCCTACTAGCCCCTGCCATGAGCACATGTCGAAAGTATAATTTGGCAAAGGATCTTACCAAGGCTTAAACTAATCAACTTACTAGTAGTACATAAGAAGTCAGTCAGTATTTAGCCTGTGCAATTGAGTTGACAGGGCTTGGAGCCATGCAGAAACCACCGCTCTACGATCTATGGGCCTTTACTAGGTCCGACATGTATTTATATAGAGGGACAGTTTGATTCAAAAGCGCTTTGTTTTCTCCTCTTTGCATTATTAGTACTACTAAGGTACTTATATGCGCAGTTTATAGTTTTCTTAACCGAAACCCCCCGGTGCCACCCCGCCATCGTCAGCTGCGGGGATGCATATCGATCTGGTGACTACAATATGCTTAGCCAGGCGGCGATAAAACAAGTTATCGCCGACCAAAAATCAAGATACTTCGGAGATAGCAGCAATACTCTTACGTCAGCAAAGGGCCCTCGGCAAAACAATGCTATGCAATGGTACCTAACCGCTACGTGGGGCGGTAAATAGGGTTGTAGTACTGGAAAGTTGAAACTGCAATGTGCATTGCAGGTCTGCTTTTGCACATTATATATGTACAATATATATGTATATACGGCTAACCTCGGTCCGGCTTCGATACCAATCGTCTTGCAACTTAAATATAGCTATGTTTTTAAGCTAGTTGCGGCAATCTATACTTGCGTTACTTTCTTTTTCTGATAGCTTCTCTTTTTTTTAAACGAAAGGTCTCTTTCCCCTTATGATTCATCTTATTTGTAAAAGAAGGGTGCAAACCATGATAGCTTTTGCTGCATTATCTCAGATTGCTTTTTAAGGCTATCTTGTATGTAAATTCTTAGCTTGGCACGTCGCCGTACCTTACAAGAGGTCTTAATGAGGCAGGCTTCGCTTGCTACCCGCCCGACGTTAATAAACACAATAACAATGACTGTCGGGACATCAATATCGACCCGACGCAGTCGGGAGGGAAATAGCCGGTTCGGCTATCTCAGGCACGGATGAGCATACCTCGCTTAGCGTGGCATGGCATGCCCTCAGGGAGCCCCTAACTTCGATGTAAACACTATTATATAGCTCTAGAAGGAGTCAGCTCCCTTGAACCTTGAGGGACACACAGAAATCAAGTACCATTTTTACTGATTGTTTTGCAACTGCCGAAGCTACGTGCGCTATACGTTAATGATACGAAGTTACGAACGCTCGCTACCGGCGATCAAATAATAATAATAACATCACTTTGAGTACTTGCTAATCTTTACGTCACCGAAGCAGGCTTGCAGATTGCTTTTTTCAAGATCACTTCTAGAAGCTGGTTTGTTTGTGACGAAACTTTGTATAGAAGCGGAGCTATTCAATAGAATCGTAATTCCTTAGCAACGAAAGACTACCTATTTAAAAAGATCTTATTGACGATAATAAAACGACCTTCCTTTGCTGTTTATCGCTTTGTATCTTTCGATATCGTGTCTCGGACTCTCGATGTCGCGATAAATCTTTATATTTTATGTGCCGCAACGGAACGCAGTAATACGGTCGTTGGATTTGCTATACTCGCTTAATAGAAGATCGCTGATATTACCTCGAAAGGCGAAGTAAAAGTCGTTGACTACGCATTGGTCCCCACTAATCTCAATTAGCAATTTAAAATCAAATTAAATTAAAGGATAGTAATAGTGATCTACTCACCCGTAAAACTCGCATCCGTAGCCGAAAGTATTGAAACCGGTCATAACTTCCATTAAACCCAAGTCTTCGAGGTCAACTTTTTATATATATTAGCTTTCAGAATTATCAAAAAGTAAAAGGGAAAAGTGAGTTCTTACCGCAATTATCTTGGTCATAAGTGATGTTTTGGCATTTATGAAAGTCAGGGTCTTGGCAGAAATAGAGCTGTCCGCTGCGAAATTCACCCTCAGGATCTTGTGCAACCGCGATTGCAAAAGTAATTGCAGCGAAAAGAGCGTTGGTAAGTCGCATATTGATAGATCAATTGAATTGAAGATCAATAAAAAAAAGTGTTTTTTTCAAAAAGTAGATGGGTAGCAATAAAGAAGATAGTGCCGGACTGTGTTGATGATAGACAAATATGTTGCGCGACTTTGGAGGTATATAACTACTTTTCAAAAGCTAATTGCGAATCTATAAATATGATGATTTTAAACTTGAAACTAGGTACGATATTTGTCGCAAATAAATATGGTTTACTATTTACGTATTTTTTCTTCCCCCTTTTCTTTCTCGTATCAACTCGTTTCATGTGATACGGCGCTCGCTAAGCGATGAACTTTGCAAGGGCCGATCGAAGCTCAACTAAACTTTTAATTTCACAAAGAGCCTGCAGCAACCTCAGTCTTTAATACCGGTAATATCAATCGACGAAACAGAAGCTGTCTAGCGCCCACAGCTCCTTTGTTTTTAGCCTCCTTGACCTTCCACGGTCATTCTATATCTGCCAAATTGTATCTCCGGGCACGCGACGGGCACGCGACGATAGGTTTTGATCTTTTAGGCAGGAAGTGTTTTACCAAGCTCCGGCAGGAGAATACTCTCTTACAGTGGTACTACTATTTAATAGTGGGCCTTGACGTCGCAACTTTTGGGGCCCTTCCTTAAAGTAGGCGAAAAAATTATGTCCCGCGAAAAAATTATGTCCCGCTTCAACGCTAAAAATCGCGAGGAACGTAGACACTTCAACAACACTTCAACACAACATTTTCCATCAAACATTGACTTACGTACCTAAATAAAAATGAGCAAAAAACGCGCGCGCGCTCTTGCACCTCCTGATCTTAATTCTGAATACTAGAAGCTCTTAAAAGCTTCTTAACATGAGCGAATACAGCTAGCATTCGAATGGCTCTTCGAAAACCCTTCCGAAACACCTCTTATTGCGAGTCGCATTTATATAATAGAGAAGCCTGATACTTTAAAGCGAAGATGGAATAGGTATCAAGCTAAACAAGCTCGATTGAAAGAAGGGAAAGCGTTACAAGTAAAGAGGCCTATAGTTTTATCAGCAGCACAGCACAAAGCTGTTTTGATCTACGCCGCAGATCAAGCAACTAAAAGAAGGAAAGGAGCTACTAAGCGTATGCTTTATCGATGCATTTGCTACTTTAAAATACAAGAAAATAAGCCAGAACCTTCTTAGCGTTGGTTTCAATCTTAGTTGAGAAATACGGCAGAACTCTATGTTATACGGACTAAACCAATCGCATCTTATCGCGTCGATATGCATACCGAGAAATCTCTCTCCAACTGGTTCTATACCGAGCTTGTTCCTGCTATCCAGTTCTGCGGAATTGGGCTTAAAGATAGGCATAAAATCGCAAATATAGATGAGAAAGGCGCGCGGATTTGTATGCCGGCCGGAGAAGAAGTTATCGTACCTATCGGAATCAAAGAGATGTATACAAGAATCTATGAAAATCGACTATCCGTAACTGTGATCGAAGCTATTCTTGCCGATAGAAAAGCTATTCCTTTAATGATTATTGTGCCCGGAAAGCAAATTATAGCGTCTTGGTTTTCCGAAAAGATGACTGGACATAAAGTTGTCACTGTTTCCGAATCCGGTTATACGAACGATAAGATTACTATAAAGTAGCTTAAGCACTTTATTAAGCATACCGATCAAAGACCCGATAAACCGTAGATGATATTATTACTTAATAGTCAGCTTTGTTACGAAGCTTCAAATTTCATTCTACTAGCTAAACAAAATCGTATATAGCTTATTAAATTCCCTTCTTATCAAACTCATCTTTTACAACCTTTCGATGTCGGCTGCTTTCGCACTTAAAAACATAATCAACAATATGCTATCATAGATGCTATTCGAAGCTTCGAAGCTAAATATACTATCTCATCGTTTATGCGAGACCTTCCTCAAATTCGCGAGCAAACCTTTACAACTCGGAATATCAAACACGCTTTTCGAGATGCAAGAATGTAGCCGATCAGCTTTTCTCAAATTCAACGCAAATTGAAAAAGTATAATAAAAAGAGTAAGAAAGAAGCGGGATTGCATATACTCGAGTACGGAGAAACGTCTGATCTTAAAGAAGAAGATGAATATTCTTTTTCAATCGATAAGCAACCTAACGAATTACCTCTTCTTGCGCTACCTCGACTTCCTCAATCTTTTCAAGATTGCGTAAAGCAACTCGACGATCTGAACGATAAGATCAAAATAGCTCTTTCTTCTCTTAGCCGCCAACGCTTCGATATCGCGAAACAAGGTACCGAGACTTGGTTGTTACGAAGAAGCCTTGATCAAGCAAAACTCGATAAAAATTAAAAGCTTCAGCGCGATACACATCGGAAAAAGCTGATTAGAAAGTCGAGTTTGCAAACGGGAAGGAATATACTAGCTTTTAAAGCACTCGAAAAAGTCAAGGCTATAAAGATAAAAAAGCAAGAAGCTAGTCTTAAGATAGCGAACGCTAAACTCAAGTTAGCAACGATTAAAATTCGAAACGATCGTTATAATCAAGGAGTTCTTGATCGGAAAGCCGAAAAAGAGCGAAAGAAATGGTTGAACGAAGCGTATAAGCAACAAGGTCGAGGGATTCTTATACACATTCCACCCGAACGAAAAGTCCTTATTCGAGACCGCGAAAAGCAACCTACAGCAAAAGAACTAGAAGCTGATAATATTGATTTGATTTCTTTTCGAAACGCAATTGCAAACGAAGAAGCTGCGTTAAAAGAAGTTTAAGAAAGAGATCTTGCTACATTCGCGGACCCTTCGTATTCAATCGATCCTCAAATCCTTACAAAGGAAAAACGCTTTCGAATCAGACAAAACCTATTATCTTGCATTCAAATTAGCGATGACGACGAAGATAAAAGATTAAATACTTTACTTTCGTCTCCTTTAGCAAAAATAATGCTTACTAAGTGGGAAGAGCTTGAAAAAGAGCTTGAAGAGAAAGAAGATTCGATATCGATTCGATCTGTAGCATCTCTTAATTCAATTCAAAAGACACGCGGTGAAATAATTTTTTCGTAGCTTAATTGAAAATGAATAACATTATTAAATATATATATATATATATTATTGCAGCGTTGTGAGCAATGTTATAAGCAATATAAATGTCTACGTTCCCCGCGATTTTTAGCGTTGAAGCGGGACATAATTTTTTCGCGGGACATAATTTTTTCGCCCACTTTAGGGAAGGGCCCCAAAAGTTGCGACGTCAAGGCCCACTATTAAAAGTCGGACCCAGTTTAGGTGTTACGGTCCTGGCAGGCCTGGAGGTCTTGGCATGGGCTTTAGGGGTTGGTTTATTGTAGGATTAGTCAGCCGAGGCTAGCGGCCGCCCCACGGCACAAGACCTCGGCCCTCCTGTATTGTACGTAGTAGTTCTTTCCTTCCTCGTCACAACGTACTATACAACGTACTACGTCGCAGGCGTAATTGTTACACCCTTGAGGGTAGGGTGAATTGAAACCTTTGAGCCACCCTCATGCTGTAGCAATTCTTTGGGGGGGAGGGGAGGGGGGGGGTATAAGAATCCAGTCTTGAAAAGTACTTTTAGGTCAGTATTTAATCTGTGCAATTGAGTTGACAAGGCTTTGAGCTATTTAGAAACCACCGCTCTACGATTTATAGGCCTATCAACACTCTTCCAAGCTAACATACCGCGATTCGACCCCTCCTCCTCCTCCTCATCGACGTCAAAGGCTAAGACAAGACGTCAAAATGTACGGAGTATTCTCTGAACGGACCTTCATGCGACGTACCGTCATTTCGTCCAGCCCCTCTCTAATGGGTCCCAAAAGCACCGGGTCCTCTCGAATCCCAAATGCCGCATTTGTCTCCCCAGCCTACGTACGTAGTATGTCTCGGCGGTACCCCCCCCCTGAATACATGTACAGTAAGTAGTAGTAATACTGGGTCCTTTGAGAGCCGATTCCTCTATTAATAGTAGTACATGTCGAAAGCATAATTTTGCAAGGGATTTTATCATTTAAACCGATCAACCGTTTCCTCCGGTTTAAATAAGACCTTGGCAAGCCATGCGCGGTGGGGTCACTAAGGTAGAGAAGCGAGAAAAAAGATGACTAAGCGAGCAGAATCCAACGTCGAGAAATTGATACAGGTCAGAATTGATCGAATTTCAATATTTTCGTTCCTTTTATAATTTATCTTAATTTAATTTCGATTTAATGAATATATTTATATATTAATTCCAGTTAAATCTATACTTTCCATTACTTTCGATCAATTCCCATATTCAGTTCTATTTTTTTTAGAGCTGGAGCAGCGTTTTCATCCTCGTTAGGCTCGATCCCGTCTGAATATACTACGTCCCAGGCGAAAGTATTACCCCTCGAGGGTAGCGTAACCAGAGGGTTTAAAGTGGAAACTAAACTTTTGAGGCACCCTCGAGGGGTAATAGTACTACTACGTACGTAGTACTTAGGCCTGTACCGTGGTACGTGTATATTCGGTCCGATATGAGTTTGTAGTTTATCTATCGTTAAGTATAGATTTCTTCTTACTACGTATTTGTATTACTCTAAAAACAAGCTTATCGTTGCTCTATTTTCTTTTTACTAGTAAAACGCTTTTAGCGCTTCTTTTAAAGCTAAAGCTAGCTTCAGAGCTACATGAGGTATTTGCTAAAGGCGGTTCTGGTGGCTCTAGTAGTTTTAATGGAGTTTTAAAGGTGGGCAAAGACATGTTGGCATATCAAGATGTAATAGCAATGCAATTTTATTCATTTTGGCTGCTCAAACGCTATAGATTTTGATACTTGGCATTTCTGAGTCATCAATTCCTGCCAATCGGTCACTTGTCGCCGTTGCCCGTCTCCACCGCGCACAGCTTGCCAAGGTCTCATTTAAACCAGAGGATACGGAACTCGATACCTCGCAGGCGTAACTAGGTATTACACCCTTGAGGCTAAGGTAACCAGGGGGTTTAAAGTGGAAATTTAAACGTTTGAGGCACTCTCAGGCTGTTGCAATTCGGCGGGGAGAGTGGTATACGGTATACGGGGTCGACAAACATAGTCGCCAAGGCCATTTCACATACTACTAGTTCCGCTCTTACTCACTCGGCGAACGCGGAATTTGCGACATGCGGCAACTGAGAAAGTGGAAAGTGTAAAAGGCCCAGCAAGTGTACATTATCCCTCTACATGCCATCTGTATTACTGCGACCAGTGGTCATGCGAATCTCGTCAAGTCGTCCCGCGCCAAATGCAAAATCATTTTCCCAGTTTTCCGTATCCCAGATTGCTCCATAGCTCCCTCCAAACCGAAATTTACAGTCGCTAAGAGCAAAAGTGCGCAAGTCAAGAGCCATCCATTTCACTCATCTCTTCTTAGGAGAAGCGACCGGCTCGAATGCATCCTCATCCGAGATCTCGTCGTCGCTCAACTCAATTGCCTTTTGCGACTTAGGCTGAGGCTGAGAGAAACTGAGCTGCGTCTGTCGAGCCTTCGCTATAGTTGCGACAGCTCTTCGTGGTTGTGATTTCGCTACCGGAGGCGGCTCATCGTCAGGTATTATGACTTCGTCGTCGTCACTATCATCCTGAGCCCTCTTACGCTTCGCAGGAGCCTTTGGCTTCACCGGCCCCTTTGGCTTTGCTGGAGCTCTCTTAGCTGGAGCTCTCTTGGGTAAACTTTTCGTCTTGAACTTAGCCGAGACCACGGGCTCGTCATCATCGTCGCTACCCACAGCCTTTTTTCCACCACGCTTTGTGGCTGTTTTCGGGCTGTCATTCTCGTCATCCTCCACAAAGACATGTGCTCCAGGCTGATCCTCCCAGTGTTCACCTTCAGCATCAGAATCCCAGCCATGGGGCTTTGGCTTCAAAACTCCCTTTCTCTTAGTCTTCTTGGCACCAGTCTTGAATGCGGCAGCCGCCTTCTCGCGCAAGCTTCCCATGACCTCTTCAAGATCTTCATGGTCTTCTCCCAACTCTAGCAATTCCCGAACTTGGGTAGCAAGACTATCGACGACGAAGGTGTCCATAGCATGCTTGTCGTCCTTCTCCACAAACTGGGTAACGGCATCTCCAAAAGGCTCTTGAGGGAGAATCTTGAGTGATTGTGCCGCAAGGAATTCCTGGACGATTTTGCCCACCTTGACATTATCGTTGCTGATAGCAGCTAGGGTCTCAGCATCAGGCATGTCCTTATCATCGGTATTGGCATTTCCTTAAGATAATGTCAGCATGTATTGCCATTTTCGGAGGACGATGGGCTTACGGGTAGCTGTCTTCTTTCTGTAGAATTGTACCACGTCCTTCCTATTTGCCACAACCTGAGTAAATCGATTGGAGAACCGCTGAGGATTCTCAATCTCAAATTTTCCACCGTCTGGTGCCGAATGCTCGATCCGGAGCCTAACGAGTGGCAGAGGGATCTCCTCTGGAGGTTCATCTGGATCCTGAATCTCAAGCCACTCCGCCTTTGCCTGCGCAATGAGCTCATTGACAACGGTTGCCAACTTCTTGGTCAACTGACTCTTGTGATTTTTGACTCTTGCCAAGTTCTTAAATCGATCGTCTTGAGAAAGAACTATCTCCTCGTGAATAAATGGCCGGACGGATTTGATTCGATGCTTCTTGACAACATAGTTTTTACCTGTGATCTCGACGATAGCAACGTGTTTGGCCACTGCCTCTCCTGGGCACAGAGATGTTGCCACTGAAGATCCAGGTTGCATAACGTCGAAGCCCATTTCAGAATTACGACGCGGATCGATGATGCATTCGTGCTCGTGACCCCAGACAACAAGATCAAGCATTTGGGGCAGGAATCCTTCTGGCAAGTATCCGGACTCGGTATGGGCATGATGGTTTTGGTGAACAGCCATCAAGTTGAACCAGTCGTTCGGTTGAACAGTGGGCTTGAAGAACTTTACACCGCCACTATTGAATGTCCGATAAAGGCGCTCATCTCTGACGTTACTCATGCCGTAGAGTGCGAGCTTGGTATTACCCTTCTGCAGAAGGACCGGCTTGATATCGATCTTGTCAGACTCCGGTGTGCGTCCAAAATAGTTGAGCAGTCCCGAGACTTGGAGCAGGTCGAGAGAACATAAATGACCGTCTCCTGTAGGGTCATCGTGATTGCCGTGGATGGAGAAAACCGGAATAGCAACATTGATATCGGGGTCCTCGTAGTTGACATGATTGAAAGCACCATCGAAGACATCATTGGCATCACAAAGAAACTCCAGCTCCACAGGTTTCTCGCCCAAACAGTTTTGTCGAAGAGAACGCATCACTTGGTAGATTGACTTTCTAGATGGCTTGTTGTCATGAAACAGGTCGCCAGCAAGCAGAACCATATCGACCTGCACACGAAGTTAGTCAAGAGCCTTGTAGTCTGTTTAGAGGACTTACCTCTTGCTCCTTCGCTAGACACAGAACCTCATCAAAGCTCTTCCACGAATCGTCCTTTCGGACGGGGTCTCGCTCTTCATATCCTACATGGCTGTCGGTAGCAACGAGGATGCGAATAGTACTCGCCACTATACATTTTCAGCCAGTGTAAGAAGCAGACGAAAAGATATGAACGAACAGTCACGAGGCATCTTGAATACAATTACGACAAGAAACTCGGGAGAAATTTGTACTGAAATCCGTTTGCGTAGCGGTCGTTAATTTGGTCGGATACTGCCACAGGTTTGTTAAGTACCTGGGCAGAGGCGGGCCTCGGGAGACGTGATAGGATCTGGCGCGTCTTTAGCGCGCTGTCATCCCTGCTGGTCAGCCCCGGGTTCCGGATCAATTTAACGGAAATTCTTGACGGCGACACCTTACTACAACTTCTTCGCACCACCAGAACAATGATTCCTACTCGGGCACTTCTGGCACGCTCCGTATGGAAAGGTATGCGAATTAATAGTTTGTAAAGCGCTCCGTTTGACCACTAACAAATTGCAGGACCCAATATCGTACCGTAAGGTCAACAAGTTCCTGCTACCCCCAACCCCCTGACATTCGACCAGTCTACACATCCAAAAAGTAGCACCCGGCCAGAAGATCCCACCGATCAGGACGCAGGCACGATCTGCGACTATTCTTCCAAACTTCGTGGGACTAGTGTTCCAAGTTCACAACGGAAAGAAATACGACGATGTGGTGATAACCGAGGACATGGTTGGACATAAGCTCGGGGAATTCTCAGCGTAGGATACGCCTGTGTTATGGACGAAGAGCAGTGCTTACAGAAGTCTAGGACGAGAAAACGTTTTTCATACAAGCAGAGCAAGAATAAATAGACGCACCGACAGCACATGGGATTGCGTTATGGGAGCGACCACTGGGCGATCTGTACGAGAATGGGTGTTTCACACAGAGACTTTTCGGGCACGAATATCTTGATGAAGAATGCCGGGAAAAATCGAACTAGCATGGGTAGAAATAGCCAGTGATACGGCTAGAAGTCAGTGAGTGAGCAGAATCGCAAGTGTGAGGCGGCAGAGCGTCCGATGAGAGAAAGAATACTAGATGTGCTAGCCGCAAAATATTTGGTTACCAGTTTTGAGATTCAGCAGATGTTATCACCTGTTCCCTTGTAATTGTTCCCTTGTAATTACTCCCATGGTACTGGATCTAGCTCACTTCCCCAACTGTCCATTGCCATAATCCAGGCAAGCTCAAAACGCCATAAGAAGCACTATAACTCCGCCGATACCGTCCTTCAAATTGCCCCTGATCAGTCCATCCCGGGATCCCCATCAACTCGCTCATCGATAGAACTCTCCCCTCTTGACATTAACACCATACTCGCCAACAGCCATTCCCAAGTCCTCCATTGTGAGAACAGTCCTGTTCTGGCTGCCGCCCTGCCCACCACCTCCGTAGCCTGGACGCTGAATACCTAGAGGCCCACCACGTCCTGCTTGTTCTTTGCTACCTGGCGCGGCGGCCTGCTGACCTGCTACAGGGAATCCGGCCGCAGCTCCAAGGTTACCCATAGGATTGTTGGCATTTGAGGAGTTAGATGAGCGGATACGGGAGTATTGGTAAGCGTCCGCAGCGATGTCCGCAATAAATTTCTGAGTTGCGAGAGCGAGGAGGCGGGCGAGTCTTTGGTCTGTTTGAGGTGGGGGAGCAAGACCAGCTTTGGTAAGATAGTAGTTGGTCACTGCATCAGGAATCTGCGAAATTGTTAGAGCGTCTCAAGTCTCGTATACCCGTCACCTACTATTGGCGCATAGTCATCCATCTTGGACATGAACTCCTTCAACGAGGCATCTTTGCGAGTTGGCAATTTTGGATCTGTAGCTGGCGCAAGGGGATCGGCTTCATCCTCTGTGATTTGCACCGGAAGGAGGTCCTTCGAAGGATCTGGAGACTCTGCATTCGCCATTATGGGTTGACTTGTACGATATGTTTCTCGACAGGACTTGAGGGGGAGTTGGCTACACGGGCCGAGAGTTGTTCCGTTAGCGCGAGATGATAGGTTCAAGCAATTGGGACGAAAAATCGATGGCCACAGCTTGTTCCCTTCAGCCTTGCGATATCAAGTAATTCCCAGAGACTTCCTGCCCTCGTCAGCTATCACCATGACTGACCGTCGTCCAGATCAGCAAGAGATGTCCAAATCAAAGCGGGTCAAGACTGATGGTCTCGACCCAAGGGCCAATCCGTACCTGGCGCATAATTACGAAGAGGAGAGTTTCTACTCGGCGCATGATGGCAATAGCAATGGCAATGGTGCTCGCACAGGACTGTCCGAATTTAAGAGACATGCTACGACGGCTGTACAGGCACACAAGGCCGAAGATGGACCCAATAACCCCTTCAACAACGCTCCTCTATCAAACCAATACTTCAACATCCTCAAGACGAGACGAGATCTTCCTGTTCACAAGCAAAGGTGGGTTGCGATCAATGATTTTTGATCATATCTAACGTATGTGTAGACAAGAGTTTCTCGATATGTTCCATAAGACCCAAATCCTTGTATTCGTTGGAGAGACTGGTTCCGGAAAGACTACCCAGATCCCACAGTTCGTACTCTTCGACGACCTACCCCATTTCAACGGAAAGCTCGTCGCATGTACACAACCCCGTCGAGTTGCTGCTATGTCGGTCGCTCAGCGTGTGGCCAATGAGATGGATGTGCGGCTTGGAGAGGAGGTCGGATACAGTATTCGATTCGAGGATGTCACTGGACCGAAGACGGTGCTCAAATATATGACTGATGGTATGCTTCTGAGAGAAGCTATGCACGACCACAACTTGACAAGATATAGCTGCATCATTCTCGATGAGGCTCATGAACGGACTCTGGCAACCGATATCCTGATGGGTTTGCTGAAGGAGGTTGCGTTGAGACGCCCAGATCTCAAGATTGTTATCATGTCTGCTACGCTTGATGCACAGAAGTTCCAGCGCTATTTCAACGATGCGCCCCTTCTTGCCGTTCCGGGAAGAACACACCCCGTAGAGATCTTTTACACGCCAGAGCCCGAGCGAGACTATGTTGAAGCTGCGCTACGAACAGTTCTTCAGATTCACGCCACCGAACCCGAAGGAGATGTGTTATTGTTCTTGACAGGAGAAGAGGAGATTGAGGACGCATGTAGGAAAATTGCTCTTGAAGCAGATGAGATGATCAGAGAGACAGATGCTGGACCATTAAAGGTCTACCCTCTGTATGGTACTCTGCCTCCTGCGCAACAACAACGAATCTTCGAGCCAGCACCACCACCATCAAGACCTGGAGGTCGGCCCGGACGGAAGGTCATCGTAGGAACGAATATTGCAGAAACCTCCTTGACGATTGACGGTATTGTTTATGTGGTGGACCCAGGTTTCAGCAAACAGAAAGTCTACAACCCACGTATTCGAGTAGAGTCCCTTCTGGTCTCGCCTATCTCTAAGGCTTCGGCGCAACAACGAGCTGGTCGTGCTGGTCGTACTCGACCTGGAAAGTGTTTCCGTTTGTACACCGAAGCTGCTTTCAAGAAGGAATTGATAGAGCAAACATACCCCGAGATTCTTCGATCAAATCTGGCAAACACGGTCCTGGAACTGAAGAAACTTGGGATCGATGACTTGGTACACTTTGATCTTATGGATCCGCCAGCTCCAGAGACGCTTATGCGAGCCCTCGAAGAGCTCAATTACCTTGCCTGTCTCGACGATGATGGAGATCTGACTGCTCTCGGCAAACTTGCCTCCGAGTTTCCCCTTGACCCAGCGCTCGCTGTCATGCTCATCTCCTCCCCAGAGTTCTACTGCTCCAACGAAATTCTCTCGCTCACCGCCCTCCTATCCGTCCCTCAAATCTTCGTTCGCCCGGCTAGCGCAAAGAAACGCGCAGATGAAATGAAAGCCCTCTTCGCACACCCAGACGGCGACCACCTCACCATGCTCAATGTTTACCATGCATTCAAGGGCCCCGAGGCGCAGAGAGATGTTAAAGGCTGGTGCCACACACATTTCCTCAGTTTGCGAGCCCTCCAGTCCGCCGACAACGTTCGCCAGCAACTGAAGCGGATCATGGAGAAGTCTGAATTGGACTTGGTCAGCACACCTTTCGACGATAAGGAATACTACACCAACATCCGCCGAGCACTTGTCGCTGGTTTCTTCATGCAGGTTGCGAAGAAGGACCCCTCTGGAAAAACTTACAAGACTGTGAAGGACGACCAGAGCGTTCTGCTCCATCCTAGCACGGTTCTTGGCGTCGATAGCGAGTGGGTTATCTATAACGAGTTCGTGCTTACCACCAAGAACTACATCCGCAACATCACCACTGTCAGACCTGAATGGCTCTTGGTACGTACCCTCTAATGAACCTTGAACTTTGCAGGTTGTGAACAGCTGCTAACGTACACAATAGGACATCGCACCCACTTACTACGATCTCTCCACCTTCGCGAAGGGAGAAATTAGGACCTCTCTCCAGCGAACAATGGAAAAAGTCAAGCGCAAGCAAGCAATGAAAGGCGGACGATAGAGAGACTGACTTCAGAGCCTGGTTTCGTTCGGACGGACTCGCACATGCCATGTATTCATAGAGGAGATGCATGGGATTTTCGGGTGTTCTTGGGGCTTAGGCATGGGCATGGATGGCGCATTGTGAGAAGAGTGCTTCTAGTCTAGAAAGGACAGGCTGAGTGCATGTGCAAGCACCAGCCCTCAAGCCATCTGTGTATAGAGGCCCTGGTCCTTGCCGATAGCAGAACTGCCCGAATGATTATAGAATATCGGGATCTTGTACTTCTAGCAGAGGCATAACGGATGAGCCTGCGCATCCTGGCGCTTCCCAGCAACTTATTCTGATGCATGGTAACTCTGCCCACGGCCTCTGGCCTACGAGAAAACGTATAGGGATCCCCCCGAGCCATCGACGCAAGTTATGCATCCTTTCCCGCGGAGTCGTAAGGTCTGTCCGTGATTGGGGGGGGAGAGTGGAGACGGTGCCGTGCGGTCAATTCGTGTCTGTCAGCCAACAAGTGTTGAGCCGCTGTTTTCCACGAAACAAGCAGATCTGCCTTTACCTATCTGGATGGGGGGGATGGGAGACAGGGAGAGGGGAGGAAAGGAGGGGGAGAACCCGAGTTATCACATTTCGAGTTTTTGGCTTTAAGCAGCGGACCTGTATCATTGGACGATGTGCGCTTGCGACGTTGAGGATGGGAGAGGTCTTTTAATAGCTAGCATAAGAGGAGAGAGGTAGAGGAGGAGGAGGAGGCTAGGGGAGCGTGAATGGGTGACGGGCTATTATGCCAGCCACTCTTTTGATGTAGATCGCTTGGGTGCTGTTGGGTGTGGCTCCCCGCCCTCCGGTAGCCAATTCAAGTTGTTGGTGAGATTTTCCTATGTGATAGGTATGCAGCGCGTTCCAAAGCAGGTTGAGCTCCCAACGTATATGCAGCTTACGTCGGCGTTTATTTGTATAGTCGTTCGCTCAACGGCGGGCTCCCTTAAGGTGAGGTGGACGACGACTAATTAACTTGAGAATTTCAAGAAAATAAAGGCAGTGAAAAGAAATGCGATGGCAGCACATACCTACGAGTATGCCAGTATCAGATCTAGAGGTGCAATAGCTGCGGCATCAGAACAAAAAGATGTGAAGATGGCAGAACCAGGAAAGGAGAGGGGGCATGATTTAGAAAGGAACGGGGTAAACGGAGATAGAGGGGGGAACAAGAGATGAAGAGGTCGGCGGCGAGGGAGCTGACCAACCTTCGAACGAGGTTACAGCAGCGGATATTACCCACGACATGATCGACTGATCATTAACGAGTGCTGTTTATGACTGAGGAGAGTGTTTGCTGCCAAGATCATTGTACCCGTCTTGACCTTTCTAGCCGACCGGTCACTACCACAAGGCTCAAGCATCGCCGAGATGCCTTTCATAGAGATTATTGCCATCATTAGCGCCTAGAGCGCTTCTGCTAGCGACATCATCCTCTGGATCACCGAAAAAAAGAGCACCTAGAGCTCGCTCTATAAGTAGCCTATCTTATCAAATGCAAGAACGGATAGAATTGATTTTTAAAAGATGCGGCGAAGGGCAGCACAGGGGCCGGAAGCAGAGAAATAAATCGATGACAGAAAGCACGAAGGGGCAGAGGTAGGTATAGGGATTTGGCTGGTAGACTGACTAGAACTTGTTCTCATTGTGACATACCTGCACTAATAGGTAGGTTACTTGCCGTGTTCACATTGAGGATGTCAGTATGAGGACAGCTCTTCCAGTTTAAGAGTTTACAAGCCAGAGAAGGGATCAAATCAGTGCTCAAGATGGTGGCAAAAGAGGCTTCTGGAGACGCCTGTTGGCTAAAAACCCTTGAAGAATCACCTTTTGGTCCGCCCCTGAACTGCCCGTCCCCCTCCAACGGCCATTAATAGTAAAGTAAGTGATTGAGTTTGTTCGCGGCCCAAGACCTAGAAGAGTTTATTAATTTGTAGCCCTTCATGGAGTACTACGTATGTCATGAAGCCCGCATCAGAAGCTACGGTAATACCGTACCGAAAGCCTGAAGCGGCCTGACAGCATCGGCCCGACGACAGCGCAACTGAATCAAGCCGTTGATCGTGATCGGGCCTTCGCTGCAGCCTGCTGCCGGGCATCCTTTCCGCGGGTCGGGGTTATCTTGGTACAATGGATTTAGCATGATTGCGATAATGTGAATATCACTGCCGCTCCGCTTCGCTCCAAGAATGCAGTAAATTGCTAAGTCAGGTGCGATATGTAGACAAAAGTCAACCTGGCTAGTGGGCGGATTGCGGACTTTGTGGTGCCAGGATACCGACAATCTTTAAACCCTGCAGGATGGACTCAATTCGAAGCGTAGTTTCCTTCCAAGGATTAAGCGAAATGCGCCTTCGTTCGTTACATGATCATGACCATAATTTGCGCGCAATCCTTTGTAGAAGGACAAGGTTGGGGCCGCGGCAGCAAGGGAGCAGCTCGAGCCGGGAATCACGGAGTAGGCCACAGATATCCTGGGCTTCCATCTCTTTTCTTTCTCTGTGCCAAATCCCACTCTTCCAAACACTCTCGTAGCCTCCCATTCCCCGCGTCTTATCAACGTGGGCTAGAGCCGCTCCTCTATCAGCGGGTAGAATCCCGGCACCATGAGTGGTTCTGGAGGGTACTACAAGTACCATTGCTAGTACTGGTTAACTTCCAACTGTCGGAATTGGGTTTGGGTGAACAATGCGTCTTGTACCCGTTGTCTTGTACGTTGGCCTCGCCACAACGACCGGAGGTTCCTTGCTAATCAAACAAAGGTAGTTGGTCGTGATTCAGACCTCGCAATACCGGGCCCCTTCCTTATCTCGCGAGAGGTTTATGTAACACAGTTGAAAACTGGAATGTTTCATTACACCTTGATGGAGATCATCGCAGCGAGTGATTATGATAGTGGATGGATGGTCCAGCAGCCACAAACAAAGACATTCCCCACTTCGACTGCATCAGCAATAACCAGCATGACCGCAATGGACGGGGTCAGTAATCGAAGAAGTGGAATCTCAGAAGGACGAATGCAACACATGGCAGATAGAGCGGACTGGAACAGGAATGAGAATCATTCCGAATAGACCTGGAATCGATATTCAATGTTCAACGGAGGCACTAGTTCCAGTTTGTTGATATTTCCAGGGCATCACATGTCTGATAGAAAATGGTTTGGGTTTGGGGGCTTCAGCTGAGCTGAACAGGGGATACAGTGCTATTTTCCATGCTTTTCATGGGGTTGTGCGGATATTTTCAATTCCCTCAACGTTTTGTACTTTGCGCTGGGCAACGAATTTGTTAATCGATTTCCAGAGAAAAATGTTCGCGCCCTCATTGTTTTGCATTTGATAGCTGGAATATAATACGAATTCGAGCAGAGAAGGGCCCTGGTCTGCCATCTAATGGATGCGCTGGGGCCAAAGACAATCCGAGAATGCGATATCAGCTGAGTTTTGTTCGCATGTATAACCAAACGTAATGCTCTGAGAATCTTCAACTCCGAGTGGCAGCAGTTCGAGAAAATCAGAATTTAAGGCAGGTAGCTGACCGATCGGTAGCTGCATTAAAATTCGCAGTTACAAGCGTCTCTGCTTAAGCAACAAAACAATACAACGAAAGCATCTGAATGAGTACAGAAAGATCATAGGCGAGGACCCATCCCATCGGGATTTGCGCAATTAAAAGCAGCAACATGAAGAGTATATCATAATTTTACTCCGATTCGAACAATAAGAGCAGGCAATAGGCTCCCTCCTGCCATCATGGCCCCGACCTAGATGCGATTCTTTTCCATCATCCAATCAATACGCTGGTATGTTGGTTGACTGCAAAGGTCCATTGGGACGATGCCACGAACAGGTTGATAATAAGGACCACTCTTTCGAGGGTGTATGCAAACTTGTGAGGCCGAGCGGGGAGTAAAGTTGGGAGTTGGGGTATTGGCCGACACGGACGAGGAGCAGAACCCGTCTGGTTATGCATAGGGGCAGCAGCATGCCGGAAGCCCTCTGTGCCGTACCGGTCGGTCGTACCGGAGTTTCCCGAAAAATAAGATGGAATTGAATATCGGATTCTTCCATCTCCATATGCCAAAATTTATGACATTGGCTGATGTTGGTGGTGGACGGCCAAAGTACATAGGTGGGTGAGGTGGGAAGAAGTCGTGTTTGGAGGGGAGCCTGACAGAGCCTGATAGAGCCTGAGATACCTGGCAACAACCATCCCAATCCTATCACATCACGTGGAACATTCTATTACGGGGTCGAACTTCGCTTCTGGCAAAGACCTCACTTCAAGCAATCCGACATGCAATGCGCGTCATCCAAACGTCGGGACACATAAAGACACAAGAGCTCTCTTCTGGCTCCATGATATCGGCAATCTTCTCGTCATCCCGTTGCTCAGGGTAGTATTTGAGCATGAGGTGAGGTATAACTGCACTGGGACTTGCGAGACATCTAGTGGCTGGAATCGAGGTGTTCACCCTTTGAGCAGCACCATTATCTCGCCTACAATACTGAGCAATTGATAGAGCTATGAATCCAACAAATACGCTTGCTCATGGAGCTCTCCTGCTCGGCAGGCTGCTATGTGATCCAGCGGCCTAGGGTTTGCTGCTATGGTTCCGAACCTTGTGAGACCCTTTGAACCGCAAAAGCACCTTTAGACTGACTGAGCTAAAGACCTATGTACTGTAAGTGTAGACAAAGGTAGTGGATGGAAGACTTCGCTAATAGAACATGTAGGACAGTTGTCTGCTGCTAGAGCCCGAACATTCCTGGACTTTCTGATTGTCACGTATGCTCTTTGACTTTGTTGTATTTTGCTGCAATGAAACGAATGTCGTTGTGTGCTTAGATTTGATTCTTCCATGCTCTCTCTAAGTTGCTACCGTACCGCAATGTCTTGCTTGCCAAGAACAGTAGAGTCTGTCTCTTTTTCTCCGGCCTGCAGCATCTAGCATCTAGTATCAAATTTCAAATATGGAATGCCCTTGACTGGACTCATTTCTTGAGAAAGAGGCTCAAAAAGGCTCAAAGAGCTGGCAGCACTGCGCTGCACTGAGGCTGCTATCCGTAGAAACCGAACTGGGCAGGCGTGACTGGTCAATGTTCGCCCTGGGCGCGGCTTCCGCTCTGGACCGCTAGCCCGACCTGACTTGACAAGAACAACAAGAAGAGTATTGCCTTGTCTGCCCCGGCGATCCTTCTCTTTCTCTCCCTCTCTCTCTTTCTCTCTCCTCCCCCCCTCCCTCCCTCCTC